CAACCTGATTTCACCAGGTAAACAAGGGCCGCCAAGAGGCACATGGGAAGACAAACCTCTCCACCAATGCTGGTTTGCAAGTAGTGGTCACAAAACTGGGACACTGAAAAACAGCAGCTGCTGACCCTCTTCCCTTCCCCACTCCCTGCCATTCAAATGGTCGTTGTAACCAGGAAAGATGTGGAGTCTGGAATTACAGCAGCTACAATTGAGCATGTGAGAGACTCTTGCCTTCAGAGTTCATGCTAAAACTGCATTTCCAGGCCAGGCACGGTGGCTCAAGCCTGTAATCCCAGCACTGTGGGAGGCCGAGGCGGGTGGATCACGAGGTCAAGAGATCGAGACCATCCTGGTCAACATGGTGAAACCCCGTCTCTACTAAAACTACAAAAAATTAGCTGGGCATGGTGGCGCGTGCCTGTAATCCCAGCGACTCAGGAGGCTGGGGCAGGAGAATTGCCTGAACCCGGGAGGCGGAGGTTGTGGTGAGCCGAGATCGCGCCATTGCACTCCAGCCTGGGTATGCAGGGCCAACACGTAGAGTTGGCCCTGCATAAAAAAAAACTGCATTTCCAGGTATTTCAAAAGCTTATGTAAGGCAACTGTCAGATAAATTAGTAAAAAAGACTCCCCTTACCAAGTGAAGGCAGAGCCCCAAGATTGACTTGTTTCTCTCCTTTCTTTTGATAAATGACAATAAGTTACATTCAGTCCCATTTTACAAAATGAACAAGTAGAGGGACCAGGATCTCTGAGCTTTCGGTGATTGTAATAATAGTGCTACAAACAAATTTGTATGATTTTATAAATAAATAACAATGAAATATAAATGACACAAAAAGTAAAATATTCAGATTTCAGTGTACATTGTAACATGTACTATGACAAAATGGGGCCTGAGGAGAAGATCCATGGCAGTGCCGGTGTGAGGTGGAAAGGGGCAGGGAGAGCCTGGCCCTGAGAAAGGAGAAATCAAGCACTGACTCTGAGTGCAACTGTTACATCAAAGAAGAGCACCCGGGAAGGCTGCCTTCTCCCCACTGACGTGGAGCTGAGGACCCCGATGCCAGCTGCATTGAGCACAGGAAGGCGAGTCTGGCAAGCTGTCCCTTGCCACAACAGGCATGGGGAAGCGTCCCCTCCTCAGGCACTCAGACACTC